TCCTCCTCCTCCTCCTCCTGCCAGGCACTGTTTTTCTTCTCTGTTTTTCAGAGGCAGCTCGAAATCAGTAAGTGCTCCTGCCTGGCCCCTCCCTCTCCCCCTGTGAACACCACCAGTTTTTGCTCCCTCCCCCCTCCCCCTAGCACTGTTTTTCTTCCTCGCCTCCCCTCACGCCGCCCCGCCATCTCGCCCCCATCTTCCCGTCAGCGTGGCTCCGAGTAATCCCCCTCGCTCCATTGTTCGGCTCATTTGCCGTCATTCGCCGCGATTTCTAACGCCGTAATCGAAAGTTATCGAACCGCCACTGTTCGTAAACACGTGCCCCCCGGGGCGATCGCTGGCGGCGTTCTGATGTTTTGACCTTCTGATGTCCGGATGTTCTGGCATTCTGATGTTCTGATGTTCTAATGTTCTGATATTCTGGCGTTCCGATATTTTTTGGTGTTCTGGCGTTCTAATGTTCTGATGTTCTGGCGTTCTAATGTTCTGCGATCTGTTGTTTGCAGCGGGCAAGACGACGACGAACGAGGAACTGGAGAGCATGCTGGAGTCGGGCAACCCTGCTATATTCACAGAAGGAGTGAGTACTGGGATGATGATGATGCTGATGATGACGATGATGATGATGACAATGCTGATGATGATGATGATGATGATGATGATGATGATGATGATGATGATGATGATGATGACAATGACGATGATGCTGATGATGATGATGAATGTGATGATTATGATAATGCCGATAATGATGATGATGACAATGATGATGACGATGATAGTAATGATCATGGTGGTGATGATGATGATGATGACGATTGTAACAATAATGATAATGATGATGATGATAATGAATGTGATGATTACGATAATGCCGATAATGATGATGGTGATGATGATGATGACAATGATGATGATGACGATGATGATGCCGATGATGATGATGATGATGATGACGATTGTAACAATAATGATAATGGAGATGATGATTATAATCCAGTTATGCTGGCAATGAAGAAAATAATGATGACAATACTACATAGAACTGTCACTAAAAACTAGCAGCTGCTACTCTGTCAGAAAAACTTCTCGATCAAAGCTTTCCTCGATGACGCCTTTGCCCAGGTGTGTCAAGTCGCACCTGAATACGTGAGACCTGAACCTGAAACCTATCGCTACATCATTAGGCCTAAAAAAGACGTTTGTTTCCGCTAACCCGACCGAGTCCATTTTAAACCCCCGTGTCGAAACTTTTTATTGTGATCAACAACAACAACAAAAATATTTAATTTAACAAATATTTGTAAAAAATATAAAAAATTCCAACGTGATATCGATCGATGAATACATTGATTTGACTTTGAAGTCATTATATGGGCTGTTATAAGTATAAAACAAGTATTGTTAGAATACAAAAAAAGGGAAAATATATTTGATAAAAAAAAGTTTTCCCTGCCTACCGTGTCCAATTTTTTTCAGCTCATTAGCGGAAACAAACAGCTTTTTTTCTTAGGCCTTAGCACTGTCCTGACAATTTTGCTCTCGTCTAGATCATCATGGAGACACAGCAAGCGAAGCAGAGTCTAGCGGACATCGAGGCGAGACACAACGACATCATGAAGCTGGAGAACAGTATCCGCGAGCTTCACGACATGTTCATGGACATGGCCATGCTCGTAGAGTCACAGGTGAGCTGTAGGGTTCACGATCAACGACCCTTGAGTTCCATCTTGCTTTCGTGTTCTCGATACGTACGTGTCTCATACACCGCCCGTCTCAACGTGTCTCATGCACACCGTCTCAATGCTTGCAGGGAGAGATGATTGATCGGATCGAGTACAACGTCGAGGCATCGGTCGACTACATCGAGACGGCCAAGATGGACACGAAGAAGGCGGTCAAGTACCAGAGCAAAGCGCGGCGGGTGAGTGAGACCTCGCGGGTGGCTGGCCTGATGCACGCGCGAGCGAGCGAGCGAGACACGCACATCCGTAGTAGATGTCCATAGACTGTAGATACACACACATATATATATATATATTGCTTTGAATGAATGGCAGTCATTATATTCAGTTTTGAATGCGATTTTTTATAAGTGGTTGTTCTTTCATTTTAATTCTTCGAGTAAGTAGTAGTGCGAGAGACGACATGATCGTGCCTCGATAATTTTTTCCGTATTATTTGAGCCGTAGACGTCTGGCCGTGCACCGCATGAGCCGCCACGCTCACCTCACATCAGACTATGGTTCGCACTGCATGTCGATGCGTGGGGGGGATCGTGCGCGGTTTCCGTTCGCCCCCGCGAGCCGGGTTCGATCGCCGTCGGGGGGCCGCCACTTCGAAGTGCCGTCGAACGAACCTCGGCCATTCGCTCTCGTCGGTCAGCGACCCGGGCTGCCACCTGGTGGCGTGACTCGTGGTGAGACGCCGGCGGTTGCTACGGTCTTCCATCGGTCGCCACGGCGATCAGTCTGGCTCGCGGAGGCGCGCCGCCGCGCGCTTTCGTTCCCTTTTCGTTTTCAGTTGCGATATTTTGTTTTTTCGTTTCGTTTCTCACGTTCTTGTAGAAGAAGATCTTCATCATAGTGTGTGTGGCTGTGTTGATCGCAATCCTCATCATTATACTGGCGTCGGTGTTGCCCGGCATCGGATAAACGCGGCGCTGGCGGCGGCGGGCAGGAGGAGAGATACGAGAGACACCGGACAGACGGACGGTCGGACCACGCCGCTAGCACGGTGGCGTTGCACGAGCGAGTGGGGGCGGTGGCGTCGCCGCGGCGACCCCTCTCTCACGCTTACCCCTGAGAATGCATACGAAAGACGATGCAGAAGGAAGGTGGAGAAGGAAGGTGGAGAAGGTGGAGAAGGAACGATGCCAAAGGAAGGTGGTGCCGGCAGCGGGAGTGTTGCGTCGCGAGGAAGGGAGCTTCCCTGCTGTCGGCTGTGAGGAAGAAGACGGAGGAACGGCCCAAGATCGAGCAGCTGAGAGGAAGACGGAGAGAGAGAAAGAAAGATAGAGCGAGAGGAAGATGGAGAGACAGACAGAGAGAGAGAGAGAGAGAGAGAGAGAGAGAGAGAGAGAGAGAGACACCTCCCTGGCGTACTAGAGTGCTTTCTTGCATTGCACGGTGGGGAGTTGGTACGTCTCTGTAAGACGAGATTTAGTGACGCGGTCGTCCAGGAGATGGCAGCACCGTGCTGTAGCTGGAGGGAAGCAGCGATGGCCAGCCGGTAGATGGCGCAGCGCGGTGTGGCTGTCTGTCCATGTACAGCCGAGCGCATTTTCTTCTTCATTGTGTTCGCGAGGTTATTGCAAGTTATATATGTCTGCTCATATATCTACTGTTGAATAATAATGTTGAACACATGCAGACACACACGCCACACACACGTAACACATACAGACGCACGCACGCACGCAACCACACACACATGCACGCGCGCACACACCGTGTGGGTAATTTATCTCCCGTGTCCTGACCGATTTGTTAAAAAAAAACATTTACATGTGTAGAGAAACGTACAATTAAAGATTGCATCGGTTAAGAACTACAGCTGTGAATGAAAAGTGGGACAACACTCACCCATTCCGCTCTTATTTCACTGTTAGTTACAACTAACAACTAATCACAATCGTAAAAACGGCTCGTCTAAATTAATTGTGTCGTACAGTCATCATTACTTAAATTGACTACGTCACGAATTTTCTATGATAAAATTTGTAAAAAAAAAATTGCCATTTTTTTACATTAAAAGTAAGAACTATCGGTACTAAACGTATGGTCAAATTCTTACCTGATAAGATTGTTTCTCAACTAATTAAAAATCCAAAAAAACTTGGACGATTTGATATTAGTGTTCCTAACATTAATTGCTTGCTATGGGCTATGTATGAGTCGCGAGTGTATGTTCACATCAAACAATATAGTAAAATAAGAAGTATTAAACCAGCAATTTAACCGCAAGAAGTGAGAAGAATTACTTATATTTTGTGAAAAAGTGGAAATATAATTTTTTTTTTTTACTATTTACGGTGACGTAATCACTTTAACCCGATCCCACATGATGTATTACCCGTCTCCGTAGAGAAATGATTGCTTAGAAAGCAAACCTTGAGTTACTCGTAGATTTTCCACAATGACAGCGAATGCTCGCGGATTAATATGCCCACAGCTATACTCTGATGGCTGCTGTTTGGATGGCTGGCGCGTGCAGCCTGTATGGGAGCCGCTGCGGGCAATGATGAGGGCTTTCATTTGTGCATGATTCATTTGTTCACTCTCGTCATTTGAGATGATTCTCATCAAGGTTGATGGATGACAGGTGTGGTGGATGGCCTAAACGAGCGGCTCGTGTCCGTGGCCGTATGGTATGGTGTGGTGGCTCGTGTCCGTGGCTAATGTATAATTACAATCACTGTGTGTGTGCGTGCGTATGTGCGTCTGTGTGCGTGCATACGTGCGTCTGTGTGCGCGCGTGCGTACGTGCGTGCGTGCGTCTGTGTGCGCGCGTGCGTGCGTGCGCGCGTACGTGCGTGTGTGTGCGTGCGCGCGTGCGTGCGTGCGTGTGCGCGTGATTCGAACAGATTTTGTTGTTACACTGTGTAGAGTTTGCGTGCGTGCGTGCGTGCGTGCGTGCGTGCGTGCGTGCGTGGTTCGTCAACGCGCTCGTTCTCACACCGTCATGTATTCGCTCTAGCGTGGGTTTGGATTATCTATACACATCGGATAGTTAGTTACATTTCAGTTGGATCAATGGTTCTTAACCTTTTTTTGAGTCATGGACCCCTTTGAGAATTTGGTGAAAGCTACGGACCCCTCCCCCCAGAAAAATGCACATAAGCACATAAACACAAAAGTTTGCATACAATGGGGTTCACAGACCCCCTGAAGCCCATCCACGGACCCCAAAGGGTACCATGGACCACTGGTTAAGAACTTTTGCGTTAGATCATTCATTCATCCCCCGCCCACCACCCCAGATTCTAGTTATAATTTGCATTTGTATTTATGTAAAACGGTGACCAGTCTTGGTTCTGTTGAGAGAAACGTGTGTGTGTCGGAGACAGTGGACGAACGATGCAATAATGAATACCTATACGTCACCGTTATGTCACCGTTGATGATTTGTTTTCATATTCTCCATCTATATAGTCAATTGGATGTAATATATTAAATACGGAATTCTATATCGATTGGGGATCTCTGGGATGGCTCGTATATTTAGCCTGTGTCTGATTATTGTAAAGCTTGATGTATTCGCGTGTAAGAGTAAAATTTCTCTTTCCGAGCGCACCAGTCGTGTGTGTAATGCTGTGTATGTGTAAAATAAGAGACAGAGAGAGAGAGAGAGAGAGAGAGAGAGAGAGAGAGAGAGAGAGAGAGAGAGAGAGAGAGAGAGAGAGAGAGAGAGACGA